CCTCTGAACTCCCGGCGGTACCGGGCGGGCCCCTCGGTCGCTGCTGCTCGGCGTTTGCACGGAGCTTGGCGCGACGCTGCTGTGTTGTCGCTTTTTCAGATGATGAGCTGAGCCTGTTGGTTATCGTCATTGACACCAACCCTATCTGGTGGGGAAAGAAGGCGCTAGGAGAAGCTGAGGTACGTCTTCTGGGTGTTGGCACTAGTGGTGGTGGTTTCTGAGGGAAATAATTTTTTTTTTTTTTTAATGTTAGTAAGTAGCCAACAAATGGGATTAGTCTTTGATTTCTGGACTGTGCTAACATTGTCTGCTAAAACGGGTATGATGGATATTATATTAGAACATTATTAGAATACTCTTTCAGACATAGCTACCCAGCGTTGTGTATTTGCCAAAGCTTTTTTTCCAAATGCTTCCTATTAAGAAAGGAAGCTCTTTCTGCATCTTCAAATTCAAGTTCTTTTAACTGCAGTTAGCTGAGCGATTTCTTCTAGATTACTTAACCGTAAATGTTGTTGAGCTATATCTACTTTCTTCTTTTTTTCAGCAGTTCACCCTGTCAAAATGCATTGATGCAGCAGTGGTACTGGGAAATTCGCACTTATTTATGAATCGCACCAACAGACTTGCTGTCATAGCAAGTCACACGCAAGAAAGGTATAGCTGCTTCTTAACAGTGTGAAGGTTTAAAGTGTATTCTGCTCTATCTGTCTCCTGATTTTCGTGTTGGATTGAAGTATGTAACTGAAACCATGTTTAAAATGCATAACATATCATTGTCTTAAAAACAGAAATTAACTAAAATTGTGTAGGAAAGAAATAATCTTAGTGCCTTACACAAAGCAACAAAAAGGCTTATAAGACAGAAAGGAAGTTTAAACAGAATTTTACTTAAAAATATATGGAGAGAGGGAGACAGAGGATGGTAGAGATGTGGGGAGCAGGACAATGCAAGTGGCGGAAGTTTCCCGTTTAGCGGACATTTTTCCCCAGATATTTGTGAGTCTCAGGATCTACCCCCAAGTGCAGGCATGGCATCTATTTGCCAATTCTCTTGAGGGGTGTCTTGAAAGGGGGAGGTGAATGTGGGTTTTACTCCATTTTGGGTTTGAAGATTGCCTGCCTTATGTAGCCTCTTTAATGTCTAAAGTATTAAAATTATTTGAGATTATACTTCAGAGTATTGCTGTCTACAGCTCATTAGTTTATGGTGTTTTTTCTTACAAGGGTAAAGACAAAACGCGAATACTTTGGTTTTTCTCTGTTTCAGCCGTTTCTTGTACCCTGGGAAGCGTTGGGCTTTTGCAGATCTCTTTGGAGATGGTGGTAGTTCCATGGAATCTAATTGCTCTGGCAGCAAGGATGGAAAATACGAATTGTTAACAGCGATAAATGATGCAATTGCAGAAGAGATTAAAGACCTCATGACAAAAAGTAAGGAAAATTCTAGGCTTAGTATGCAGAATTGCAAAACACTTGGACTCTCAAGGAGTTGCAGGAATTTCCTTTATTTTAATCATGTGAATTTTAATACCTTTAAAGTAGATGACTTTATTATGCTTGACACTTCAGGCCTCTGCATTAAGACTATTTGCCAAAGGTAGAACTTGTAGTATTAGGTATGGTCAGGTTCAGCAACTGTTTTTATATATAAAACTAACTTCTGCAGCTTTTCTTGTATTGCAGCTGACATGAGGGGCCAGCAAACAGAAACTCTGTTAGCAGGATCACTTGCTAAAGCACTTTGTTGTATCCTTTTGATCACAGAATCTTCAAAGCCTTTATGTATTTTTAAGACTGTTTCTTGTAATATTAATTAAGTTTTACTATTCCCGTTCTGTAATAATACTCAAAACTGAAACGTTTACCTAATAACTGTGGGTCATGCTTATTAAAATGTCTGTTGGCTAAGGTGGTGAATACGTGGTATGGATACTGGAGTTATTTCCAAGAATAGAATGTAGATTCCTTAACGTCAGCTAATGTAGATATCAACAAGATGAGCAAAGAGGTAAAAGGTAATGCCTCTGCTCCTGTTCTGAGTACTTAAATAAATATTTGAATCAGAATAACAGATATAAATGCATATGTACATACAAATAAATATGCATATGTTTTGACACACCCCCATTTCCAAAACTGGCAATAATAGGTACAGGTTCATCCTGATCATTTGAAGTTGCCCAATTTAAACTAGGTCTGGCTGATGATTAGAAGTAAAGGACTTGATCATTAGTCCACATTCTTATTCTGATTTTCTGTTGCATGCAGGTAAAATGAGTAGAACTGTAACTGGAATCTCTAGAACAGCTGGAGGTTGAGAGGAACTTTTTGAAAGTCACATGATGCACGAATCCTCTTCCAAAGGGACCACCTGCAGAGCTGTGATGATAGCTGAATTTCTTACTCAGTTTTGGTCATCTTCTTGCGACTTCTGTAGTCAGGAAAAGTGCTATTTGTGCGAACAGTTTTGCAAGGAGCATATTGGACTAGAATCAGCTATACGTTTCAGATTACTTTAATCAATGAGAAATACCCCATAACTTGAGATATGTGTTTCAACCAATGAGTTGGTAATGAACAGCTTGAACATTTCTTTCCTGATCAACATCTAACTCCTTTTGGACAATAAATGAAATGGGTTTGCTTTCATAACGTCTGAATTGGTACACAGATGCTTGTCACTGGGACTGTAAAACAGTTTCATATACATATTTTAACTGAGACATTAGATCTGACATCTTGGATGTTAGATATCTGAGATGTTAGATGCTACAGAATTAAAAGGGCAAACTACAGGCGATAGAAACAATGTGCTCATGCATTTCTTTTTCTTTTTAATACTTAGCCAATCAAGAAATGAAATCAAGGATTTTGGTAAGAACTTCTGCTGTCAGTTTTCTTTTAGTCTTGAAATCCAGTGATATTATGTAGGCTAACAAGTTTGAATTGTTTTATTTAGGTCATAAAAGCAGCAGAAGACAGTGCATTGCAATATATGAATTTCATGAATGTGATCTTTGCAGCACAGAAGCAGGTGAAGCTGGCATTTTTTTCATATATATTATCTTTTATTAATGTGCAAAGATTAAAAAAATGTTCATTTTTCTTGTGACTATGTTCTGATCAAATGAAAGAGCTTCCCTATGGCTGTAGTGGTCCTGCAGCTGTAAAAGCATGTGCATTTATATGTGGAGTGCATTTATAGCGGAAACAGGTCATGACAGTAACGCTGATGAGGCTACATTGGTCCTAGCTGAATTTGTTTTTCATGTATTTCATCTCTTTTCTTGCAGAGTATTTTGATTGATGCCTGTGTCTTGGACTCTGATTCAGGTCTTCTACAACAGGTACAGACTTCCTATTCTTACTTGCTGTTTACATTTATTCCTAGATACTTGATGCTAGATAGTTTGACATATTCTAAAGCTCTCTTTGTTTTAAGAGTGGGTGTGGAAATATGTTCAGTGGATCTGACAGTTCCAACATGCAGGCTTTGTGCAGTATGTGGATATTTTAAATATCCTGTTTATCTCATAAAACATAACAATCTGATCATGCTTTCTGCTTTCCAGGCTTGTGACATTACGGGTGGCATATATTTGAAAGTGCCGCACATGCCTTCCCTTCTGCAGTATTTGTTGGTAAGTCATTTTAAAAAACACTTCAGTGTTTTTCCTGTGTCAGATGTGAAATCTTACTGGCTTCATTGACGAGGTAATACAGCAGTACCATTCCAGTTTGCAAAATATATTTTCTGTATTCACGCAGTGGGTATTTCTCCCTGATCAAGAGCAAAGATCACAGCTTGTCCTTCCACCTCCTATTCATGTTGACTACAGAGCTGCATGCTTCTGTCATCGAAATCTTATTGAAATTGGTTACGTGTGCTCTGTGTGCTTGTCAAGTAAGTTTTATAAATATTTAAGAGTCTGATTTCTTACTTTCAAATGAACTGTTTTAGTGAAAGCCAATTCTTTTATTTTCCAGTATTCTGCAACTTCAGTCCTATTTGTAGTACATGCGAGTGAGTGTTTCTTCTTCTTGTTTCAGGGGTGGGTGTGGAAATATGTTCAGTGTATCTGACAGTTCCTTTTTTATGTTGTTTCAGGACTGCTTTCAAAATATCATTGCCACCTGTCATGAAAGCTAAGAAGAAGAAATTAAAGTTAGCTGTGTAACAACATTATGTAAATACATCATTACCTTCTTCAGTAATTCCATGAAATGGAATATATGTGAGAAATTGATGGCACTTTTTATTGGAGATGAAAGAGAACTGTTACAGTGTTACTACTTGTTTCTTAAGGGATAAATATTTAAATTGTATGTTTTCTACACAGCCCTTTAAGTAACAGACCACTGTATTACCATGTAACCTGTGCTGTTTTAAATACTAATTCTTAATTCCAGAAGTTACAGCCTGTGAAGAGACAGACCTTGTGAAGTAGAAGGTATTCTGGCCACTGCAAAGTTTCACATCTCCAGGTTATTTTCAAAGACAAGAAAGCTCTGATTCTTTTTGTATGTTGGTGTAAAGGTAAGAATGACCATTTCTGGTGTGTAGGATCAGAACCTTAGCACGATGTTATTCAGGGACTTCAACTTCTTGCTAGCTTTTGCTAGCAATTTTTTGACTGAAACAGCATCAATTTCAAAATAAATGAGCCAACACTTTCAAGATGGCTTAGAACCCACCTTTTTTTTTTTTTTTAAGATGCTAATTCCCCTGCCTGTGCACTTATGCATATTCATATTCCTTTGACGGTACTGTCTTTGTGGTATTTCTTTCTCAATTGGATATCTCTTCATTCATCAATAAAAAGGCCCCCCTTTGTTTAAAATAACTTCAATAAATGCAAACTATCTGGTTAGTCTTTAAGGTTGTACTTTGAAACTGGAAAACAAAAAATATAATTCTATGTAATATGACAGCAGGCACACTTTTTGAGTATGTAGTTTTATGTCTGGCATTTGACAAGTAAGAAGGAAGGCTTGCGTTGGTGGTTTTTATGTCAGAACATGAGGGTATGCTGTGTACTTCTGAACATGGCTTTGGTTTAAACAAACTAAAAAACAATCTCCCACTTTTAAAAGGTAACTGTATAATTTGGTGTTTTTACCTGTTGCTAGTAACTGATGTTCTCCTGAAAAGAATACAGAGAGTAATTGTTTCCTGCATAGAAAAAGACAATTTTTTTTTTCCAAGGCGTAGACAGGAATTTATGTCGCGTCTTAATACTCGCATCAGGTTTTTGTCAATGTACCTGTTGTAGTGCCAGTCTCTTACTGGCTTGTTTGATTGCCAAAAGCCATTTTGTTTGAAGGCTGTATTTATAATTTACTTTGTACAAAACGTTTGTAATAAAACCTTTTTCAAATGTGTTTAGATATTACTATAATAACAGATAATTTTAAGGGTGTTCTTGCAACTTTGGTGTGAAGGAGTGACAGTATGATCTGGCGCTACACGAAGTGCCTGAGGGAGGGTGTGGGCCGTGCGGAGCTAGGTGAGATGATGAGGGGCAGACTCGTCCGGTCTGTCTTGGTCGAGCCCGCTTTCGGCTGTGCGATCGCTACCGTG